AGAAAGTCAAATGATGATGGCACTTGTGTTTCTAAATTCAGCAGAATTCAGAAAGTTGGTTTCATGTAGGACCATGAAAGGACAGCATGGTTTCTGGTCGAGAATGAGCTAGAAATCACTGGAGACCCCAGGTGATCCTGAGAGACCCCAGATGAGACCCAGGTGATCCTAAGGGAAGGGATGCATTTCACCATGCTTCCAGACTCCGGGCTCCTGATATAGGTTCCTGCCATGAGGCTGAAGACCTTCATAGAGTGGGGTCCTTGAGTCATGTAGGACAAAGCCTCTACTAGGCCCTCCACAGGTAGGGGGCATGACTACAGGCCACAGAGCCTCAAGACAGATCTCCATATTACTGAGATACCTAAAGGCCAAAGAGCATAGCCAATTAAAGATTCCTTCCCAGATCCTCCTCCCTGAAGAAGGTATTTAACCTCAGGGCCTGCCCTGAAAATACCAGGGTATAGTTTCATCCATTTTCCACCATGACAATAAATATCTTAAGATCATAGCCTATTTCCCTTCTTTGGGACCTGCCATGGGAAACTGCGAAGAAGGTTTTCAACTATGGAGCAGCCATCTAATCTCCCGCTGATGACCTCTCAGCCATGGAGGCCCACCCAAGCAAGCAAGTCAAGACAGCCATGACTCAGCCAACTGAGTCACAGCAACCAAGAATGCCATCCCCGTGAGACCAAGCCAGAGCTCATCTTTTCCCCTCTCCTTTTCAGCTGTGGACCAATCTAGTCTGTACGTACCCACAGTCAGATTTTTTGCAGCCTCCCAGTGGCGCCTGAGAGCCCAAGGGCCTGAGAACCAGCCAATTCCCTGGCGGGCCGCTTTTGGCTCAGAGACCCACAACCCAAAAGCTCTGCACCCCCCTCCCACGCAGTACCTCAGACTGTGTTTCCTACCCCCAGAGCTGAGTCTCACAGCTTCAGATAGCCTGTTGTCTGCCCGGCACCAGCGTGGAGTGAATACAGTCAAATTTTCCTGCTTCTGCTGTGGCCCTAGTCCCTTGAGGGGTGGGGTGAGCCAGACGAGGGACCCACAATTCAACCCAAAAATGGACCCATGAACACGCTACAACCCAACAGCTTCACACTTAGATCTTCCCTTATCATTGTGTTGACCTGGATGTGACATCCTTTAGACACTGTCAGATAGGGAGTAGCACTCTCTCCACAATGTACCAGAGAGACACATTTATGAAAAATAAAACCATGCCTCTTTAGAAGTTCTATTTACTATGGCCTTGCTAGATACATTTCATACTCAGTTCTCTTTAATATTTTATATAATTTTTAATACTCAATAACTCAGCTTGGTAGATGGCTGAGTAGATAAAACAGTCACTATGCAAGCATAATCCTTAGAATACACAAAAAGCTAGATGTAGGTGGAAACATGCACCTGGAATCCCAGTGTTCTTTCTTTGAGACAGAAAAGTGAAAGAGAAAGATGTTTGGAAGGTTTCCAGCCAGCTAGCATGCTGTAGTCAGTGCTGAACAAGAGACCCTTCACCTAAGGAGGTAGAAAGCCAGGTCCACATCCAGGATTGTCTCCTCACCTTCACACAGATCTCTGGCAAAGCATGTATGCAGTAGTATTCACAGAAATAAGAGACATATATAAGAACATAGATATGCATACCACCATCTACTTTGCAATTTTGTTTCCCAGATTTACATTGAGTATATCAGATATGAATCGTAAGAAAAAGCCAACTGACTATACAGTGAAAATGAAATTAACATCTTTCAAAATGAGTACTTCAAGGAATATACTTTTTATTAATGTGTGAACCTCCTCTGTCATGCATCTGTGAGATGCATGGAACAATCAATATTCTCATGTTTACAGTGCAGCTGGGAAGTATGCCACAGACTTAAAATATAAACAGAACTCCTTTAATTAAACAATCCTGTTCTTTAATGGATACCCTTAGAACCTGTGTCAGCTTACCAGAGCCAATGGATTTGAAGGTTTTCACTCATTGTTCTTTGATGTCCAGGTTTCCTATGGGAAGGAGTTTAACTCATTTCTATGTGGCTTTTTAGGGACAAGTAGATGTGGAAAAATATCTAAGCAAATTCTTAGCCCATTTAGTCCTTAGAAATAATGTCTCTGATGTGTTTAAGCTTTGAGCTACCAAATCACCAAACAGAAGAAATACTAGCTGAAAAAAGAAATGACCATCAGTATGCTGAGAATGCTTAATGACAATACAGAATTTGATACTTATGGTTATTTTCCATCTTATATTAACATGTTTCCATATTTTAAAAAGTCCTTTTTTCCCTAAATTTGTACATCATGGAGAAATCACATACTAGTATTGGAAAACAATGTTAATAACCCTTTACTTCTGAATTCCAGGGAAAATAGACTAGGACAGCCTTGATATGGGAGTAGAATAAGAAATAAGAGTACTGGTATAGGATGTGAAAGAATCATTAGTCGATATGTTGAAAAATCTGATAGTTAATGGATAACGATGAATACTGAATGTGACTAGACCCAAAGATACACATGAACTAGTGGGTAAAGACTCCAGAAGCTAAAAATGTCAAGCAGCAAACTTAAAAAAAATCTATAACCAGACACAAAATTTCACAACATCAACATACACCCACCCACCAAGCTTCTTATCCTTAAGAACATATAATCAAAGCAGCTGTGTGTTCTGGGCATGTGATATCTTGCAGTTTTCAAAAGTAGAATCAACTGTGGAGATATCAAGTAAAAAGAGACAACAGAGAGGGGGTGTGCTCATGGGCACTTCCTCATTTCAAAGGATGGCAGTGACTGAGATGCACATCTGTGATTTATTTCAACATGATCCCTGCTCTTATAAACAGTTTCCAGCTCCAGTGATAACAGCATGGATGCAGGCCTTGGAGAACTGTGCACTGGAAGCAGTCATGAACCAGTGCTCCTGCCACTACAGCCATTCTAAATGCACTTGTGCTTTCTCTCCCTCTCTCCCTCATCTCTATCTCTCTCTGTTACCTCTCCCACTCCCTGTCCCTACTTCGTTACCTCTCTCTGTCTCACTCCATCTGAACTATAATACCCTTTGGCTATTTTCTGAAGATCAAAATGATCTTCTGAGAGGAAAGATGAGATAAATATCTTCCTTTAGGTAAAATTTTATAATTCAGAGACTTTAAGGCAGAAAAATAATATATCAAAATGGGTTGGCTCAGAAAGGAGAAAAATCACATTTTATACAAAGCAGAAATATCTAAGATATGGAGAAAAGGAAGTAAAAATTCACTAGGGCCACATTAGTGAACCAGAACAAACAGCTTCAGAAATAGCATTTTTATGATTATGAGTATTAATATTATTATTAGGTATGGGGTAGAATGAGAAATTAAGCAAACCATGAAGTCATTTATATTAATTTATTCATCTGTCTGTCACTTGGAAAACTTAAACTGACATTTTCTAGACTTATTGTACACTCACATTATGTACTAAAAATTCTATATTATTTATAAATCTAGAAGACTAGAGAAACAGTTGGTCTTTTCTTGTCCTACCAAAGCTATAACACTGTTTGCACAACTCATTCCCTACAACAAATTTTCAGACTATTTACTCTCTCTTACAAATCTACATTTGGTACACGAGGCAGGGCAGATTCTACAGTCTTGTCAATGATTAGTAGGTAACCAAAGCACCCCAAGTATGCTACAAAGACCCACAGATTTTCTTAGAAGTTATTCCAAAAGCTGATATTAAGACTCAGAATTAAGTGCATTCCTGGTTAAGATATCCAAAATGGTCAATGTTTTCTAAACTGTACTGTGACCAACAGAACCAGAGATTATGAGTCTAAAAAAAATAGGGAGTCAGAAGTCCAAATATACAAATAATTTCAAAATTTTTAAAAGACCTACAATTTGCTAAGTTCTAAAACATAGGTACCCGGATACTACAGATAATAAAAAACTGTAGATCAGGTAGATGCTGATCATCTTCAGAAGGCTGCTCGAAGATTTGCTTTTACATCTCCATATAAAGCCAGAGGTAGTAATTCAGGTATTATTACACCATGATGTGCAAAGCACAGAACAAGAGATACTATCTCAAACAAGGTAGAACAACAAATATCCAAAGATGTTGCTCTCCAAAAGCATACAATAGTGTCTACTTGTCCAAGGTCAAACATGCAAATGTGTACTCACACAAAACATTATACACATGTACAGATGAGCATTAAGTAAAATAAAACTCAACTATGTTCTACACAAGATCGGAAGGAGGCTTTAAAAATTAAAAAAAAAATAAAAGAAAAAAATGAGAAAGGTAGTATAAATTATGACCAATGTAAAGGCCTATTATCTTCTTTAGTTGTATCCAAAATATATTTAAGAGCTACTAAGCATTGTTAAAGATCAGATATCTTTTAATATATCCATTTCTTCAGGAAATTATCAAAAGTTCGGTGTTGCACAGGCAATACATATTCTCAAACAGAAAATGAAAATTCACAAAGCCTCTGTGAAAGTAAGAAGATTCACACTTTTAATGGAGTTTCCAATTCTACAGCTCAGCTTACTGTTTTATTCCCTTAGGTTAAAACTAAGAAGATTTAAGCAAAAATCTGACTATTTTAAAAAAATCATAATTATAAAACAAATTAAAATGTTATTTTGCTTTATTATTTGATAACCTTTCTCCCTGGATTACTTACAATTTACCAACAAAATACTTACTGCAAATAAGTAACCATTGATCATGGACTAACCAATGAATAAAGCAGATGTGAATGACATTTTGCATCATTGCCATTTGTATGTTTTAGTATATCTTGTTTCAAAGTCTATATCAGGACTATCAGGACTATATCTAAGGTGCTCTTTGGTAATCACCCCTGGCTTCAGAAGAGATCAAAGTCTTCAGATGTGAATCACTGAACACACAAGCAGAGATGACAAATTCATTAAGTTTAACAACATCCAGTGAAAGTATAGAATAGAAAAACAGACCTGTGACTTTGCCTAGGACAAGTGACCTCAGTGTCCGGAACTCAACTTCCAGGGAGAAGTTATAGCTGAAGAGTTGCTGGTCCATCTGTAGGAAAATAAAGCCATAGCCCAGGATTTGAGAAGGCATAAAGCAATCCCATCTGTAAACCACTTACAGTCTCACACAGGTCAGGCTCCGGCCTGGAATTCACTCTCAAGAGAGATTCAAAATGACCTAGCAGTTGTGCAACGATCCACATAAAATACCCTTTCTTTCTTTCTTTCTTTTTTTTCTTTCTTTCTTTCTTTCTTTCTTTCTTTCTTTCTTTCTTTCTTTCTTTCTTTCTTTCTTGTAAAATAGGGTCTTTCAAGGGCTTCCATTTCCTTAGAAACTTGACAGGGCTATTGTCTTGTTTTTATCTCCCCACTGGGAATTTTTCACAGGATTCTTCTCTGAAGATAAGTAAGCAGAGAATCCCTTGGATGCCTGCTCTGGGACATTAAATGGGACCCAACTGTGCTGCCCATTCACATTGCTTCCTCCCCTCTTGCTCTTACAGCCATCTCCATTTCATTTTCCCCACATCCCTGACCTGCCCTCAGGAGTGGGCTGTAGGACTTCTACTCATGAAGCATAGTTTAAAAGATTTTGGAGGAGAGACTGCACACATTGCTGTCATTGACTGGGATGGCTGATCACCTCCCACTGGAAGGCTGAACAGAAGTCACAGCTGCATTTTTCGGGCCTTCTTTTCTAGGGTTCTTTTGATAATCATGCCTGGTTTCATATACTGCTGATTCTGGTTTGCTACCCTCATCTTTCTCCTTCCTGGGCTGCACAACTCATCTAACTCCACTTTTCTCAGTCTAGCCAGATCCAGCAGATTCTTCCAATCTCTATCATTTGAGAAAGAGTGTGCATCTGTGTATATTATTTAAACACCAGAAGACAAACCCTTGTGTCATTTCTGAGGTGCTTTCCACTTTTTGCCTGAGGCAGGGTCTTTCTTTGGCCTAGAACTTGACCAAATAGGCTAGGCTACCTGGCCAACAGGATCCCAGTTAACAGCATGTCTCTACCTTCTCTCACACCATCATAGATATTACAAGTGTGTGGTTATCATCTCGCCTACATTGTTATAGGGATTACTAGGATTTGAGCTCAGGTTCAAATCCTCATGCTGGCAAGGGAAATGCTTCATTAACTGAGCCTTACCCCTATTTTGCAAACTCCATTCTGAACTTCCAATTCTCATCATTTTATAGTGCAAAGGCAAAGAAAGGTACAAAAAAAGGAAGAGACACAGCCATAGGATGGGGTGAGTGTGCTCTGCCTAGGAAAAATCAAAGGGATCAGGACTAAAACCTAATTTTTCCATATAGTTCCTTCATCCACAACTCTCAATGTATACACAACCACTGAGTTTCTCTATTTAGGAATCTTCACACCTTTTACTTTATCCTATAATTTAGTACAAACTATTATACCATAGTTGGTTTAATGATATTTTATTGTTTTTAAATTAGACTACAATATTTCCTATCTGCTAAATGTTGTATGAAACAGGACTCAAATGCATACTTCTGAATGCCATTTTCCTTTTAATACTATGAAATAGGTCAACCTAGTGACGTAGAAAGAGAAGTCACAATGTTGAATTACTCAAATATGGCATATAAACAATCGTGCATGACCATGTGATTTCTGGACTCGAGATCCCTATCTGTGCTCCCCAAGTAGCCAGATTTGTCTAACTGTCCTTGAAAAGGCAATTTTAAAAGCCAACTTGTAAAGAAAGGGAAATTCAGAAGTGCTGGGGATCATACTTGGTGTAGTTATAATCACCTGGTCTTTCTTTCTGACAGGTGTGGAACATTTCTGAAATGCTCCATACATGCTACCCAGAGCTAGGGATACATAAAGACCTGTTTTTTGTTTTTTGTTTTGAAGTTGTTGTGTTTGTCTGTTTGCTTACATCAAACAACTTTTGTAGATGAGCAAGAATATATGTATGTATGTATGTATGAATGTATGATATATGTGTGTATGTGTGTGTGTTCGCACATGCATGTGTGCATGCATGGGTGTGGGTGCGTGTGTGGGTGCGTGTGCATGTGTGTTTGCTTAGGCTGTGGGTAGAATGGTCAGAAAGACAAGCTGACGTGATAAAAACATAAAGTCATTCGTTGCTTTAGTCTTCTCTCCTTTCTTCAACATTTTGCAAATAACAAATTGTTGCTTATTATAGACTATGAATAGATAGGTGAAAGATACATAGAGAAATGAAACACATCCATTTTACTGCTCTCTCTTTCTACTTGTCTTTGTATGTGAAGAGTACAGACAATGTAAAGGTATTCAGAATATTCCTTGTAAAATGTTCAACAAAACATGTTCTGTTTTCCATCAGAATGTCATTAAAATTATAAATAAACAAGGAGCTAGAGGGTAGACCAATGGGTGAAATGGTTGCCACAGGAGTACAATGACATCAATTTGGTCCTAGTACCTATGTAAAATGTCAAATGTGATAGCATGTGTTTGCAATCCTAACACTCGGGAGGAAGAGGTGAGGAGTTTTCTTGAGCTCACTAGAGAGCCAACCTAGGTTCCTTTTTGAGATTTATAGACCTATGAGAGTCCTTGTGTCAAAAACAAAAACAAAACAAAAAGACAAAAAAGGGGAACTGCAACTCCTCAGCACTGAGGTTGTCCTCTGGCCTCCACATGGTACAGAGACACATTACAGAAACAGGAAGTTATAATTACAATTTCTATTATTCACTCATTAAACACCTGCACTAACCTTCACCATAACCCACACATGTTCAAATGTGTTCCTTCAACTCATTTCAAGAATGATGTAATAAGCAAGCAGTAAATTTCTGATGTCATGAGAATCATTTTGTTATACGTCCAATAATTATTTTTGAACTTCCATCTAATTGGAAAAACTAATGGTCATACTTATGGTGTGGTATGGGACTGGGACAAGAAACTAAGATGCATATTTTACATGTCAAAGCAGAGCTGGCCTACAGGTTCTCCCAGCATCCCTCTGTCCTCACGTGGCATACCCTGCACCAATCCCTGAAATTTCCAGTCCAGGTGCTATGCTATCTGCCCTTCTCCCAGAGGCTCTTCCCTCTATAATCTAAACATTGTGGTTTCACCCACTCTCTTCTTCTTTTCTCTCTGTGAGAGGGCACACACTTGTCATTTCTGTCTTTCTTTCCACTGCCCATGTTGACTCCCCTGGTTACAATCCTTGGGACCAATGAACTCACCCAAGTGCAGTTTCCCAGTAAGCCTTCCTTTAATTCTGGCTTGAATTATCTCATTGCTCTGGTGTTAAAGAAATAAGCTATCACATATGTTCTCCCATAAGCCACATCAAAATGAGCCTCCGTGAAATGATGACCCCCTGAAATTCTCTCCATTTCTCTCCATGTGACATGTATCAAGGGACAGAGAAACTTTCTGGGTAATTTTTGACTTATACCACTTACTTCAAAATCTATCTTTCTATACAGTGATTACAGGGAGTTCAAAAAGTGAGGCTCCAGCTAGGATACTCCCAAACTTAAACACTGAAATCATATCACTTGTCTTGGTTTGAGAATGAATTTGACATAACTTAGAATAAACTGGAAGAGAGTCTCAGTGAGAGATTGTTTGCCTATATTGTGTCCACCATTGGACATGACTATAAGAAATTAACTTAATTAATATGGGAAGATTCAAGCCATTATGATTGGAGTGAGTAAATATTTGCTTATGCCTCCCCAGAAAAATTTCACATAATACTCCAACATTGGGTTCTATAAAAGTAACATCATTCATGCCTTGAGTAGTACATTTGTGTGTGTGTGTAACATGCTGGGACTAAGGGGACGAAAAGTATAATAATTAGACTTGTTTGTCAATTATATCAAATTCAGAATCACCACAGAAATAAACTTTTAATCATGTCTGTGAGGGTGAGTTTCTAGATTGGATTAATTTTGGTGGAGAGACATACACCAAATGAGTGCAGCAGTATCCCAAAAGTTTGGGTTCTGGAATAAATAAATAGTAGAAAATGAGCTGAGCTCCAGCATCCATCTCTCTCTGCTTCCTGAATGGGAGTGGAATGTAGGAGTAGAATGTGACCATCTGTCTCAGGTTTCTGTGGCAATGATGGACTGTACTCTGTAACTGCAAGCCAGAATTCATTTAAGCTCTTCCTTAAGGCATTTTTACAGCAATTAATAAGCAATTCACATGGAAGATTCACTTTGGAAATTGGTATATATTGACTTTTCTAAAAAAAAAAAAACTTGACAATATTATGTCCAGCAATTTGAATAATGAGATTATATGTGAATAATTTTTTATGATAAATACATTTCTTCTTTTGAGTCAGGAAGATCTTGCTTGCTTGCTTGGTTGCTTGCTTAGTTTAGATGCATTCGATAATTACTTGGTTTGTACTTCAGACAATTATTTGGTGGATCTGGAAAGGTTTTAAAAAGGCTAGAAGATTGGGGCTGGAGAGATGGCACAGTGGTTGATAGCACTGATTGCTCTTCCAGAAGTCCTGAGTTCAATTTCCAGCAATTATGTGGTGGCTCACAGCCATCTGTAATGGGATCTGATGCCCTCTTCTGGTTTGTCTGAAGACAGCTACTGTGTACTCATATACATAAAATAAATAAATAGTTAAAAAAAAGGCTAGAAGACAGAAGGATTTTGGAGCTATGCTTGAGAGAAGACCACGAGATCTGACTCATAGGTAGTAGAGTGGGCCATAGAAGGCTGGACTATTGAATTCAACAATGAGAGAGACAAGGAGAGCACACACAAGCTCAAAGATCAAGATAGGAGGAAACAGGCTAATGAGAATTTGTGGTATTTTTTTTAAAGAATACATAGAAAGAGAACAATGTCATCTTTTGAAAAAGATGGCATTGCATTTGTTGGTAGCAAGGAAAGAGAAAGGGACTTGATGTGACAAATTTTGAGGACACAAGAGTAATGGATCAAACTTAACTAAACAAAATGGTGATTGCTAAACTGATTAACATTCTCATTGATTATCAAAGAGAGGTAGTCTAGACTTTGGCTGGATTTTATTAAGATCTTTCTTGTTTTGCTGTTGGCTCTTTATAAAGAGTTACTAATATTTTACATAAGCTTATCACACTATTTTCTCAGACAGTTCTCCCTGTGCACACAAAAATCTTTAAGAAACCTTCTGTGTTGTTTCTACCCTTGCAGCTCTTGTGTTTCTACAAGACCCATTTTGCAATAGAAAGTAAGTATTAATGTGTATAGGAGACCTCTCTGTGCCTTCCCAAGGGCTTCTGTATCACCTGTGCCCTCTTCTGTATCTGGACCTTATTCCTACTTTCCCTATAGCCCTTCTACAGTCTCTTTACTTTCCTCATTGTGTGCTTTGTTCTTCTTACACATTCTGCTTAAGAGATGATTAAGCTTGAGCACAACTACAATCTCCAGTACTTCCACCTATCCAGTCATTTCTGATGGAATAGCTCTGGTTGAGGATTCAAGAATTTGCACTTCTAGCACTTTTCTAGGTAATGAGAATATCATTGGAGAAGGAGGAACATGGGACGGGCTGGACTAGACTCTGAGTCTTTTCTTTACTCCAGCTAGTGGCCTCCTCAAGCTCTATTATGTTAGATAGAAAAGCCTTGGCATGTAGGCTCTGTGTGGAAAGGTGAGAAATGAAGTACCTGAACGGAAAGTTCTGGTCCATCACGGGTAATCTTCACCTGATGCACTCTTCTATTGGCCAGATTCTCTGTGCTCATGGAGAACACATGACTTTCATCCTTGCTTAGTCGATATCGAACCTGTAAACTTCCTTCAAAGAAAAAAAGAGGGGATTAGAATTAAGAGTAGCAAGAACAACATAGACAGATGTGATCAAATTGTTCATACAATGTTTATTTCTGTTTTCGTGGTCTCAATGACTTGGCATTATATTTGTCCTAATCCCATATAATTCATCAGAGTTCAAATCCAAACTTCAAATATAGATAAATATTAAAATTGAGCATGTCTTTCTGTTGTTGTTGTTTTGTGAATGTTTATGTGCTGTCTTAAATTAAAATTCTAGTTTGAGATCAGCACAATGGTATAGATTTATGATCTCAGCACTCTACACGCAGGAAGGTTAGGGTTGAAATCAACAGTGAGACCCTGTCTCAAAAAAGCAACTAGAAAGAAAGAAAAATGGGAGAGAGGGAAGAAAGAAAGGAAGAGAGAGATAAGATGGAGGGAAGAGAAGATTGAAAATAAGAGATTCCCCATTAACAAGCACACCAACTTATCAATTTTGTAACTGGAATATAAAAACAGGAAGAATACATGGCTACTCTCCTGACATGGTTCTCTTGTAATATTGTTATTCCTTCTGAGCTTGAGAGAGAGGAGACCCTCTTCTTTTCATCCACTTGGATGTAATGTAATGTCTCCAGTTTAAGTGCAATCTGGCAAGGTGACCTATCTAAATCTTCATGTCTCCTTATGAAATTCAAATATTACCAGGAGAGTATTGTTTCAGTAACTGTTTAATATCCAGAGGTCAGCAAACCAGTCCAGCGAATTTTAATCTAATCTCTAAGCTGGCATAATGGAAAGAAATTAAAGGGTATTTAGGAGAGTCCAGAAAGGCAGATGAAGTCCTTTCATTTCTTGCCTTGTTGTGTGTGAGGATGGGTAAGAGGATTGAGGGATCCAGGAAGATAAAGCATTACAGTATAAACAAAGTAGCTACTATAGTAGGAATATCCTTTTTTAATTTGAAAGCTCCTATATATGAAAATATGACATGGAAGACAGACATCCTTTGGCTTCCTTATCTCAGGCATGTGTTTATTTCGGCTTTCCAACATGGCTGTCTGAGATAGTTGAGCAGAGTGGCCCGAGTGCATAATACGTGATTCTACTATGGTGCAGTCAGCTGCATTGTACAGTTGGAATATTACCCAGAAATAAGAACCTCTCTTTGAGTACACAAGAGAACAAATTTTGTGAACAGAGTACAGTGTCATACTATGAGGGACATTAAAGAGCAAAGTGCATTTACTCAAATTGGGCCAAGAAGATAGATTGTTATCAACCATCCTTTCACATATTCATATTTATTTGACCTTCTTCAACTCACTCATTTTTCTCATTGCTGGCAATTATAGGAAAACAACAACATACATTCAAGTCTGATATCCTTGGTCATTGTCTCAGTCCTTGAATCCCCTTTTCCTTTCTCTGCATCCTTCTGTGAAAGTAAATATCCACGGGCTTTCTCTTCCCTAGGGTTCTATAGCACTACACTCCTCCCTTAAACCTACTCAATGATAAACACTTTAGGTTTATAGTCCCAGAGGTAGCAGACTGTCACAGGGAATGTACTATAAATATAATAAACTAAAGAATAGGCTAAGTGCCAGGTCAGAAGTGCATGGAGAGCAATGCATCATTCTGCATTTATCTCTCTTGTGGTCTCACTTTTCTCTCTATTGAACATTAGCAGTGCTGTGCATTCAGATGACACCTTGTCTGTGAAAATATGTGCAGAAATTTGCTGTTTACAATATAAAAAATAGAAATACGATTTTTTGAGATGCAGTTATCTTTTCTTTTGCAAATATGTTCCTGAAATAAACATTTGTAATAGAATGCACTACAGTCTCCAAAAGTATTCCATAAAATTTTAGTGCGCTTCTTTGATGTTGAAGCATTCAAATTCTATCTATCTTCTTTTTATTCCATTTTTAAAATAATTTTGAGACAATTCTAGATCTCTATTCTCTCTCTCTCTCTCTCTCTCTCTCTCTCTCTCTCTCTCTCTGGTGTGTGTGTGTGTGTGTGTGTGTGTGTGTGTGTGGTGTGTGTGTGTGTAAATTACTGCTTAAAAATTATAGTAAGGTCTGGTGAGAGGGTAAGGGTGTTTGACTAATTTGATTCAATCCCTGGGTCTCACAAAATCTAGAGAACTGGCTCTCAAAAGTTGCTTTCTAAACTTCACACATGTGGCATATCACACTACACACTCATACAGAAACACATAATGAATATATTAATATGATAAAAAGTCTTCAATTGACAATGACAGTGAAAAACTTATACTAAAAAAAGAATAAAACCTAGGACTAAGCATTGTGGTGAGGGTGCTTCTTTAAAGGAATCATATTCATGTCCTAAGTAATGCTCTTGTCAAACTAGACAGAATTACATCAGTTGCCCTATGTCCTGATTCATGGAATAGGAGACTTCTTGAATGGTAGGAAAATATACTGAATGAGGAAATTAAAAGTTTCTTTAAATTTAACTTCTGACTTGATAGATATTAGAATTTAACTATTGATATGACACAATCTAAAATCATCTGTAAAGAGAGCTTTAGTTGAAGAATTGTCTACATCATCATATCCTCTGGGCATGTCTCTGTGGACTGTAGGAGAACACTTTGAGTGACACTATTTCTGAGACAAGGGATCCTGAAATATATGTATAGGAGAGGAAAAAGGACACAAGCAAATGAAACAGGCAGACCTGCACACATTTATCTCTCTGCTCTTGATTGTAAATGCAATGTGAGCTGTTTCTCTCACCTCTCTCTGTGATGGCTTTATAATGATGGTCTGCCATGTAGAATTATAAGCAAGATAAACCCCTTTCTCCCACAAGTTGCCTTTTGCCAGTGTGTTTTATCATAGAAACAAAAATGAACCCAGAACAAATGTGAGCAAATCTAATCCAGCTTCTTGTTTCATACCTATGATTTAAACTTATTTCTACACATATATAAGACACTGGGTCCACAAGACATACTTGGTGATCCTTTATGATCTTAGAGATCCCTTTATGCTACTACAGATGTGTGTTTCTTTCTTTGATGAGCAATTAGAAATCATGTCCATTAAAAAGAAAACATTTCTCTAATTTGCACATGATTTATGTGCTTTAAAGGTGACAGACAGGACATTATGACTCAATGCAGTAATTAGTCTTTAAAGAAGTCCCATTGGGACACTTTAGTGAATTTCATACTGTGCTATATAATCTGATTTCTTTTGACTATAGATAATCTTCATTACAACACTAAAATCTTTAAAATATCTGGCAACATTGTCACTAATATGTATCTCTGAAAACTCTTTGATTGTTTCACTGGTCACAGACACTGATTGAAGGAAAGAATACTGAGTGATCACCTGCGGCTTGGTGCCTGGTCAGTGGTATGTTACTGAGAGTAACTACTTTGGTCTTTTGAGGAACTCTTTCCCATTTTTTTTCTCTCTTTTCTCTCATGAAGGGTTCAGCTAGTTCAGGCTGACATGTTGACATGTTCAACAGTAAGAACATATCCCTCTAGTTGTACAATGTTTTGAAACTGCAGAGCAATGGGGAATCAGAAGCAGCCAATCTATTGTGGTCATAGAAGTATTGCAAGGGAGGTGATCCAGGTCTAAACAAGGTAATCACAAAGTGTTTCAGAGAAGAAATGTTCTGAATTGGTATCTGAAAGGCCATGTACAGTTTAGTAATTATGAGCTGGATAAAAGGCTTAGTCTGTAGTGTGTTTGCTATGCAAGCATGAGACATGTTTTGTTTTGTTTCCAGCATACATGAAAGAGCTGGATAGAGAGTACATGTCTGTAACTTTAGCATCAGATAAAACAGAAACATGTGGATCCTCAGAGTTAGCTGGGCACCCAGACTACACATTCAAAGAGTTTCAATTTGTTAGAGACCCTGTCTATAAAAATAAGCAGGTGGAAATTCATAGAGTAAGACTCAGACTTTTAGACTTCTGTTTCTAATCACCAAACATATGCACGCATGTGTACATATACACAAACAGATTTACATGCATAATATGAACACACACACACACACACACATGCACACACAGTCCAAACAATAAACAAAACTAGAATGCTTTACTAAAGGAAAGAACTTAAAGAGAAAGAAGGAGAAGGGAAGGGGGAAGGGGAAGGAAAAGGAGGAGGAGAGGAAGAAGAAGAGGAAGAGGAAGAAGAAGAACCAAAACTATGGAAATAGGGACAGGAAACTGAACAATATCTTGATAGGTGAGAGTGCATCTGCAAGCATAACGACCAGACTTTGAACTACCAACACTCAAATAAACTCTGGGTGTGATACAACTTATATATAATTCAAGTACTTTGAATGTACAGAGAAAGGCAGATCCTGGAAGGTGTGATCAGTCAGTATTTGATTCAGTGGGAGACCCTGTCTCAAGGGTTCAGGGTAAAAAGTGAGAGAACAAGACACCAAGTATATGCTTTCTTCATGTGTGGGTATGGATATAGACACACACACACACACAATCCCATGTTGCATATACCTTTTAAATTGGATCTGAAAAAGAGATCACACCTGACTTTATCCCATCCCTGGAGCTGGGGAAATATATCAGGTACTCAGTCCTGTCTTCGTCACCACTGTTGCACTGTTTGCCCCTCTGAAGTGTTTGGATGCAGGTAAGTTGGAGCTACCGCTGTATAGTATTATTGAAGAGAGATTTACAGACACCAGACTTTTCTAATCAAAAGCCTTGGGTCTTACACCTAAGGATAAGAATCCGCTGTTATCTTTCCAATAAAGCCTAAAGCTGTTGCCTGTCTGTAGATCCCATTCACCTAACTGGGCTGCTTTGTCTGGGCATAGTGCAAGAGGATGTGCCTTGCTCTACAGGGACTTGATGAACCAGGGTTGGGGGATACCCAGGGGGTCTTCCATCCTCTCAGAGGAGAATGGGAGGGTGAATGGGTGAAAGACTATGTAAAGGGGGCCTGGAAGGAGCAGGAGGTGCAGCAGTCAGGATGTAAAGTG